AATAAGTAGACCTCAAGTTTGCTGTCATCTTGTAGCAATCTTGTTGGTGACAACATACACTTTCTGGCTTTTTAAAGTTGTATTCTTGCACGCTAGTGTAACCGCATCCTCATCATGCACATCTCCACACATGATTCAAGGAATGTTGAGTGATTGATTGATCAATTGATTGATCAATCCATCCATCATTTAGCTCCTTTAATGTCCTAGATTTTAAAAAATTGTTATTTACCAGTAAAACAAAGTTTTGTACTCCTTGTTACTTTTACTACTTCTACTCCTCGTTGCCATTGAGTTGGAATCAATGCATAGCTGACCCTCTAACAGTTTTGAGAGGCTGTAATTCTCTTCATACTTCTGTGGAGCTGCTGGTGGATTAGAACTGCCAGAGATTCTCCACTTTTGGGTTAGCAGGATAACTCTCTATGGACTATAGCACCAGATTCTAACAGACCACAACTTCTATAATTCAGACACGTCTGTGTTCAAATTCAACCATATGCTGATTATGTAAAACCTTTAAGCCTCAATTTTCTCATCTAAAAAAATGAGGACAAATAATCTGTATTTCCCTCATGAACATAAAGTGTCAATCATTGGTACTTCCTCATGTGATGCAGGGGTTATCTGCTCAGCTGTTAAATCAAAAGGTCAGCAGTTCAAACTCACCAACTGCTCAGCAGGGAACAGATGTGGTAGTCTGCCTTGGAAACCTTAGGGGCCTGTTCCACTGTATTCTAAAGCGTGGCTATGAATCAGAATCAACTCAACAGCAATGAGTTTCGATTTTTGTTTTCATAATAGTGCTTAAATAATGCCAGAGAGATAAGCATCTAATATATGTTAGGCCTCATTAGACCACCATGGAACTATGAGAATTACTGTCCAGGAAGTATGAAGTTGTGAAATAATATGATCACCCAAAAGCTGACCCCTGCTAAGCTTTCAGACATTGCTTTCCTGCCTTTTTCCTAGGTCTGTTTTCATTTTTACTTTATTATTACGAACAATTACACATCTAATTGGCTTCTCAATCAATTCATACACATTTTCTTTTATAACATCACCATGAATATGATTAATTATAGTGTCTGACCAACCCCATATTGCACATGCCTTTCACTTTACCGAACTTACTAATTTTTGCTCCCTTCCCCTTTTCTTCCCATTCCTGTGAACCCTCCAAGATATATTCTGTATGCAAATTGTTGGCTTTTTATAAGTTTTCTACCATAATTGCCCTTTTGTGATTCACTTAGGTCATCCAGCATAGTTTGTCTGAGATCCATTGTGTTGTGCAGTAATTTTATAAATTCTTGGTTGCTTTTTCAGTGATGCATAATACTCCTATGTGTGATATACATCCTTTTTTAGAAAAATTTGTATGTGTGTGTACCGTCAAATCAGATCTGACTGGTACAGGAGGAGACTGCCCCTCCTTCTCCAGCAGAGCATCTGGTGGATTCGAACTGCATACCTCTGGGATTGCAGTGCAGCTTCTTGCCACTAGGCCACCAGAGCTCCCTAAACCATTTTTTTTAATCATTTGTCTATCGGTGAACACTGTCGTTGTTTCTAATTCTTTGTTATGGTAAACAGTGCTGCAGTAACAGTGGGTGATTATATACCTATTTGTTACACAGATCTTATGTCTTTGGGATGGATATATACCTACTATTGGGATTATTAGACCAAATGGTATTTCTATTCTTAGGTCTAAATGTTTAGTTTTTACACAACTGTAATCATTCCTTTTTTGAAAAGGTGCATTTTACCCCCCCCTTTTTTCTTGTACTGTTGAAACACATCCAACTGGCACAAGAGGAGATTGCCCCTCCTTCTCCAGCGGAGCATCTGGTGGACTCAAACCGTGCACCTTCGGGACTGCAGCACAGCTTCTTGCCACTTGGCCACCAGAGCTCCCCTGAAAAGGTATATTTTAACATAGACAAGGTCAGTTATCCTGTTCGTAGAGGAAGGCAGGAGAGGAGAGACTCCCGCTCCTCACAGTGATGCTTAACTTGGCAGAATTAATAGTATCAGGCCCAACATACCTGCTCCCTGTGCCCTGGGACCCGTCACATCTCAGGACTTCAGAGCAGGGGTCGGTAGACTTTGTCACATCCCCAGGGATGGGCTGAAACTCTTAGGAGACTGATGGTTCATATCCACCAGCGTCTCTGCAGGAGAAAGATGGGTAATCTCCTGCCATACAATTTACAGCCTCAGAAACTCACTGGAGGGTCAGTTCTGAGGGGTTTCCACATGATGGGAGGAGAGTGAGTTAGTGTATATGGGGTCCTGCCTAAGCTGAGAGATGCTACCAGGAGGAGAAGGACAATATAGTTGGCCAAAAAAACAGGTCTTCGAATTGCCTGGGGAAGGAAAAATGGCTTTACAACTTCATCCGCTGCTCTCACCTTCTTTCTTTGAATGAGGGTCTCCACCCTGCCTGTGGAGGCAGAGGATGCTAATTAGAATGACTTGGTAGTTAGCCCACAACAGGACCCTGGTTTCTATAGAAACCAAGTCATTCCATCACCTTCCAACACATCTCTTCTCTCCTGACAAACTATCCCCAGAGATGTGGCATCTCCAGCATCTGTCCTGCCACTGTCCCCCCTTGTCAGCAGATAATAGCCATCAACTACTGAGCACAGCGCTAGTTAAGACCTGCTGGTGTCATGCTCGGGAGTCCTCACATGGGCCTCATGGGGAAAAACTGTCAGCCTGTTGTCAGCTAGATAGCCTGTGGGCATGGGCATCCCAACCACTGCTTCTGTCCAAGAACAAGATGCCAGCTGCATTTTTAGGGGGGAAGCTGTCTTTCAGGCTTGGCTGGTCCCCACCCAACACTCGACACTCCAATTGCACAACCTGTGTGTGGCCCAAAGGCTTCCATGGCTATCCCACCTCTACCCCACCGCCATACCTGCTCTTCTCCTTTCTGGTCCACATTCCCTCTCCTAACCAGACAGGAACAGCTGACTGGGGCCACACCAGGGCAGACATGATATTCCATGGAGTTTCCATGATTACAGTCTTCACAGAAGCTGACTGCCACATCTTTCTCCCTTGAAGCCTCTGGATGGGTTTGAACCGACCACCTTTTAGTTGGCAGTTACACATTTAACCACTGAGGAACCATGCTCCTGAAGCTGGGTCATGAAAGAATGACGTCTGCCTGATTGTCTCAGACTTACCCTAGGACCCTAATGCTTTGTGATGAGGTAGCCAAAACAAGCCCCCACGGAAAGACCACAGGCAGGGGCCACACGGAACTTTGGTGTCAAACAGCATCAGCTACCAGATGAGCAACTGAGCAAAACCCTGACAGCTTCATCCTCAAAACCTCAAGAGGGGCTACCATATTTTTTTATACAAATAATGCTCAGTGTTGTTCCTTTCTGTCAAATGTGCACTTCTTTGCAGGCTACTTTCCCAAGCACAGTGTACAGAGGAATCCTGGGAGCACAGTGCACTGCGTGCTGAGCTGCCAACCTGAGCCCATTATGTGCATTATATGTGTACACGTGTTACTTACATGGGCGCGTTATCAGTGGAAAAGACATGGGTATCATGGAGCAGGTACCAGTCACTGCCTGATCTGACTTCTTTTTTTATTTTTGTGGTGTGTGTACTGTCAAATCAGATCTGACTGGTATAGGAGGAGATTGTCCCTCCTTCCCCGGCAAAGCATCTGGTGGATTTGAACCACATACCTCTGGGGTTGCAGGGCAGCTTCTTGCTACCAGAGCTCCCTCTGATCTGACTTCTTGATCCACAAACTCTGTGGACATATGTACTGTTGCTCTCTCTCTCGGATAATCTGTTCTGTATCAGGTGTACAGGGTCATCCACTTAATCGTGGGGCTTCATATCATGGGGGGGAAGAAAAAGTTAACTCGGAGTGTGTGGCACAAATAAACAATCTTTAATATCAATAAATAGCTTCCCATCATATCAGACAGTATGCTGTGCAAAGATACAGACACATCCAATGGGAAGGGATCTATCATAACTCTACTCATTCCTTAGCACGAGAGACATACAGACACAGAAAAGACCCCCCCAGAGCATGAGAAGGAAGGGGATCTCTTGGATGGGGGCAGGTGGTCATTGTAATCCATGGCATTGGTCCTCGTTAGGTCTCCAACTCACCATGATTCAGTTACTGCTGCGCTATCATATTCTATTCACTTGACAGACACACACATGCTACTGTTAGTGAGGGAAGGGTCTCTGATAGACAGGAGGGGCCTGGGCATGATTTCGATGGGAGAGGCAGAGGGGAGAGAGGGAGGACAGTTCTGGGCCCCAGTCCACTGAGAGGACGAGGGCACACAATTGCACACGCACACACATACACACTCACTCTCTCAGGGCCACACTCTGTAAGGGCATGCACACCCCAACAGGGCATCCCTGGAAGGAGCTAACACGAGGACAAATCCCGTTAAGCCAGGAAGAGTTTGCTTACGAGGGGATGTGTTTTTGTGGCTATTTGGTTTCTTTGAATAGTCTATTCTATCACATTCACTGAAGAGGAGACAAGATACTTACACCTTCAGGGGAAAGGACTGAGTTTGAAGACAGCAGCTCGGTCAGAGGCTGCCCAGTGGATATGCACTTCGGGAACGGGGGTCCAGCCTCCCAACACCACCGGCCAAACTCTTGGTCAATTAGTCTTGATGGCGCCCTCAGGAAGGCCCCTTCCCAGGCCTCTGAGTTGAAAGAGTGTTTGGGGGCCAGATGTTAAATGGTGTCAACACAAGCAGACATGGACAGGAAGTCCCACCAAAAACCTTGACGTACACGTGGAGTTTCCAGAAGGTTCTCACTTAGAGGAGCCGTAGTGGGATCAGTAGCCGGCTTCTTGGTTCTGAAGGGGATGTGTGGGGTGTGTATTTTTGTGTGTGTCCATTGTGAGTATGTGTGCAGATGTCAGTGAGATAGGCATGTGACATGTTTTTGTCTTAAATTCTTCTTCTTTTTTTTTTAACCAGCGACAGCTGCCTTCCTGGAGGCCTTCAGGTCACCTCCAGCGAGGCGGGGGACACGCGGTCACACTCGGCCCGGGACCTCAGGCTGTGCCACTGCTCCACGGCCGTGCGGTGGGTGCTGAGCATCCGCCGCCAGTGGTTAGACTCGGAGGGCCCGGAAGAGTACTGGCCGATGACAATCCTCCCGATGAAGTCGTTGCTGCTCTTCATGTTGTGACCGAACACTGTGGGGTCAGCGGGGAGGAGACCAGAG